GGTATGATAAAGCGGTGAATTCTGAGGGTTTACAAAAAGGATATTTAGTGTTGCTGTACAATCCACAACGGAAGAACTACGGTGCAACTGGGAAGGTCCGTATAAGGTTGTCAAACGGCTGATTGACGTGGTGTATCGAATCCAGACCGTTGGGAGACCGAGAACCAAGATGAAGGTGGTCCACTTGGAAAGACTTGTAGCGTTCGGAACAGCAAATGTTTCTAATCGGGACGATCAGACTTAGGTGGGGGACAGTGTGGCGAATACTGCGGCAACGCGAATCGAACAACAATAAAATGGCAGAATGTTTGACGAACGACGTAGAATATTCGACAGCAAGAAACGTTAAGTGAAAGAATACTCCGAACAGCGAGAGAATATGCGATGACAGAACGTTCTAAGGCCACTGCTACTGTGGACCACAAGTTCAGTTGCGAATCAGAAGGCTACAAGTTAAGTTGTAAAACAGAATTCGATTGTATTGGCACGTATTTTAAATTGTTTTAATTGTTTTAAAAAGTATTGTAAATTGCTGTTATTGCCTAAACAAGTGTTATAAAGCGTGTGTTGTACATTAAAGTTAATTGATACGAACTCAAAGGATTTTGGGAAATCCGTCAAGTATTCAAGGATAATCGTAAAAATATTCCCAAAGCTCGTCAAAAAAATGCGAAGATAAGATCTTACGATGTAGATTCGGAGTGGAAAAACTAAAAATAAAATATTTTCTTATGTTCTATTTATTACAATAATGTGATTACACTCTTGCAAATTTTACAAAACGGAGCTCGTAAAGCCATCAAAGTGCTCTTTCGCTCTGAGGAGTTATATTTTTTAAGAGCACTTCGAGCGCTAGCTTTATTTACATTCTCTTCACAATAAACTCTTCACATGTTCGGCGCATTCACGAATTTGAATGTGGCATATTTTTAAAACACAAAACTTAGAACAGCAAAAACGCAAATCTTTGTACTCCAAACTTCAGATTCAGTCAGTGATGGAAAAGTAGGCACCATAGTGCCATTTTTGGCACTATTGCAGAGACACTTTTGGCACAATTCATCCTGTTTTGGCACAATCATAAAATACAGAAATTTAGAATAAAATGCCACTATACAAAAAAAATCACATACCACATTATAGATTAAAAAAATACAAAAAGTGAAAATTAAAAGCACTAAACAATTAAAATAAGGGCCGTGGGAAATATTTACAAGCCGCTGAATTCTATTGTGAATACGCAGTACAAAAAATAAGTTTTCGCAGCAACAAGCTTTTAATTCAGAATTTTTAGAAAGATTCTTGCAGTTTTATAATCCATTAAATAAAAGTGCAGGTTTTTGTAATATCGCAAGGATTTTTGATATTTTTTTTCTGATGGTGTCATACATTTTCACCCATTAAAAAAAAAATTCGAACACACTTTATATGGAAAAAATGCATACGAATGAAAACTTGGAATCTCCCTAAAAATTTTGAATTCAAAGTTTGTTGTTGCAAAAAGCTGCTGAATTTTTATAATTTTTATACAAAGTTTGAAATGCCGATTTTAGTACGTATATTGTGTTTATTAAATTATGAATTAGACTTTTATATAAAATCCATCGAAAAGTAATCAATGAACAGAGTAGGCGAAACTGCTCAAAATGTCTCACTGCCATTTCGCATATAGGTACATATATATATGTGTGATATGTGTGTAAAAATGTCATAATATCTATATTTCGGTGTATTTCCCCTCCGTAATTGGAATGATGTGTAATTTTACCATGAATTTATGTATATGTCTAAGGAATCCTTCATAAAAGTAATTTACTGTAATAATTTAGTTAATTAATAATTATTGTATTACTTCAGTGTATTTTAAAAATATTATTTCTAAAAATACATTGTTCTTAAAACGCTTTAAAAAATTTAATTTTGTGGCACTTTCATCTTATTTTCGGCACTATTTTTGAAGGCGATTTGGCACATTTTGAAATTTGTAAATTCCATCCCTGGATTCAGCCAGTCTGCCTCTAACAAATTATCTGCAGTCCCGTCTGCTCAGTGAGAGCAAAAACTAGATAGACCTTCTGAGATTGAAGGCAACAAGAGTTTTTCCCACCTGCATTCCCTCGATGCCAACTAGTCATTGCTGTGCGAATATTCACTCAGTTGCTGATGGTAGCTTCGATGGTCGAAGTGGTGAGTGCTATAACTGGTTGGGATCGAGAAATACCTGGTCTAAGCCAACTGTGTCCAAATGGTCAGATTTCTCATTACCAGGTACTCCCGAGTGACCTGGCACCCAGAGTAAAGCAAGCCCGTTATGCTTACCAACAAAATTAAGTCGATACTTCTGTTGCCGAACTAGTTTGGAAGTACTTAGATATCTATCTAAGGCTGGCCAATGCCTTAAGTGCAGCTTGGCTGTCACTGCAGACACGTAAACCGCGTAGTCCATGGTTTGCGGACCGCAAATACCTCAAATTGGAAGACCGAAGAATATTCCCCAAGAGAAAAGTGAATCTTATCCATATTAACTTTGAAAAAGACCCCAGAACCTAACCTAGAGTCAGTTTTGGAGCCATCAGTGAAGATTCGACAATGTTTGAGTCCGGGTTCAGTGCTGGAATTAAACCAGCATTCAGCCTCAGGGAACTCACCATTATAGAATCTCTTCAACAAAGGTAGTGGTGGCGTACTATCCTGTAGCACTGAAAATACATTAAAGGCTAAAGGTCTGATAATGCATACTTCGCATAACTTCGCACAACCATTAGCACCACTGCATTAGAAATTTAACTTGAGAAAATGTGAAGCAAAATGAAACTCACAGATCGCTAAGCTTGTAAAAGTTCTGCTAATTTCTGGGTAATGGAATACATATAAAGTACATACGAAATTACAGTTTGCAGTTTATGCGAAGTATGCATAATCAGTGTTATACCAACATCCGTTTCTTTTTACCTTCTTACCTTCCTTTTATTAGCTCGGGATGTAACTATGCAATATTGATGCGCCTAAAAGATGCAGCGATTTCTATTCTCAAGTTACATACCTAATGTGACCAACTATTTCATAGCTCAAAGAAGTACAGGTTAGGTTGGGTTAAGTTAACGACGCGAGCTGATTACGAAATTTCGAATGCAGCTAATTTCGATCCCTGAGAGCTCAGTGTTTGTTCAGAAGTGCGAGCCAAATCTTAGCCTCGCGTGGGTTGGACAGTCTAAAAGAAAGTGTGGAGATGATTCCACTTCATCTTCCTCTTGACAGCTGATAAAAAAGGACAATTGAAATTCCTAGTCTCACCGCATGATTACCAATCGCACAATGGCCTGTCAGAACCCACATAACTAGCCCTTGTTGCATGTGTTTTAAAGTGCCCTATAAAAATATTTGCTGCAGCAGAGAAACGTCTACTTTTCTTTTTTTATGTCATAAAAGGACTCGGTTTCCCTTAGCCTAAAAGCCGGCGCCGTGTTCAACATATGTATGTTAAGCGTGGTTCCTAATGCTCAGTTAATTCCTATTTTACAAGTGTAGGCTTCTCGAGTGAGTTCCACCAGATAAGGGCTCCTTGAAACAATATAGGCTTAAATCTGGCTTCCTAGAGCTAATGAATTAATTTGGGCGAGAGCCCTCACTTTTTACCGATAGCCCCCCTACAGCAGAACAAGGCAACCGAAAACTTTCTTACCCTTTCCACAATATTAGGCTTCTACGACAGCTGCCGTTGATCGCCCACCTAGTTACCTGGTACAGGTAACTTTGAGCCAGATCAAAGAGGGTGTATAGAAATCGTCCCTTAACCAAAAGTTTCACATCATCTACATAGGTGATCACTCGACAGCCCACTTTTTCCAGTTTCTCTAGAAGGTCGTTTACAACCGCAATCCCGAGCAGGGGTGAGAGAACGACACCTTGTGGAGTGCTCCTAATGACTCTGCACTGACTGCAGACGCTCCCCCACTCCCCCGCGACAGCTCTGTCACGAAGTAAGCTGTATATAAGCCTTATTAGGTTGGTTTCAACCCCCAGATTATGAATATACTTGACTATTGCCTCTGCAGTGACATTGTTGAAGGCCCCTCTTATGCGTGAAGGGTTCCTCTGACCACTTTACCAATGTGTGCAGAGCGGTATTCACCGACCTTTTTTTTTTGCAAAAAGCTCTTGAAAGACAGTCACGAGGAATCGCGTTTCTTATGTGTAGGTCTATCAGTTGCTCTAGCGTTTTTAGTGAAAACGAAGAGAGACTGATTGGCCTAAAATACCTAGGGGAAACATATGCGGCCTTCGGGATGAACGCAACACTGGCTACCTTCGAAGCCTTGGAGATGTACCCGGATCTCACGCAGTTCGCATAAATAGGATCCAACTAATTGCACGACACTTACAGAGGCTTTTGCATCTGCGCAGGTATGATGCCATAGATCCCCGGCGACTTTAATGGTTTGAACGAATTTATCGCCCAGGCCACGTGACGATCGTCCAGAAGATTGGAGAAGTGCAGGACCTGGGGGGAGATTCTGAAACCAGTTAGCGACAATTTTCGAATCGCTATCACAATTTTTGACGCAAAAACATTTATATCATGCTTCAAAATGTGCTATAGCTATCCGAAAATTGTCGCTAACTGGTTACAAAGTCTCCCTCCTGAAGTACAAAATATTCCAAAGAAGTACATTTGACTGTACTTCGAAGTACGAAGTACAACAGCGAAAAAAGAAGTACTGTACTTCCGAAAGAAGTACGGTTGGTCGCGTTATACATACCTGATGACAGTACGAATGGCAATTATAATAGGGAGGTTTTAGTTTTTTAAACTATAATTTTATTAATCTGCAGGCGGCTTTAAGGCTAAAGTCACAAAATGACGGCCAAAAGTAAAAAGGGCCACGCTAGTTCGGAACTAGTTATATTTATTATAGTACAGTTGCTAATTCAATCATTTCATTCAAAACTATATTCCAAGTTTTCAATAGTTTGTAAAATGTATTCCCTTCCCATTTCAGATTTTAAACACCGTTTGAAAAGTCGATTGAAGATGAAATAAAGAACATGTGTCAGCTTAACAACTGAGAAAAGGTTTAGTCATCTTCATATTGCCATCGAGCAACACGTCTACTGAAAGAGAAGCTTTTTTAACAGAACCTTAACAGAGACATTTTGCTGGCCTAAACGTAATGCCTCTCTGTGTTCTTAAGTAAAAACTTAGCATTGAAATTAATCAATTTAATATGCAATGAAATAACAAACGACAAACGCAGACTCAGAGTCATATCAAAACAAGTTTCGGCTTAAAAGTGACAAAACGTGTTTGCACACTATATATACATATTATGTATGTATGTATGTATAAGTTTAGTTGAATGCATACCTATGTGCATATATTAAGTTGGACGACGGACGCTCGTTCGTGCTCTCAACGTTTGTTCGCCCACAGTTTTTATTTATGCGGTCTACCTAGTGAGAAAGCACGCGCATATTGGTGAGGGAAAAGCTTTTTCTTGGAGCAATCTTACGCTTTTACTTCGTCATTGCTCCGGCCTTATTAGATTTTAGAGAGCGCTTTTAATGAAAAACACAGCTGCTGGCAAAATGAGTAACGAGTCAACTGCTAGTGAGTCAACACCATTTCGCCGCCCGGAAAGCCAAAATAGCTTTGACGTATCGTCGTCTTTGTTGTTGTTAGCAAAATCGCGTGACGTGGAAAAACATTATCGTAACCTAAATCAAAACTCCAACGATATCAGCAACAGCAATTGCAGCTGCGACAACGTCAACGGCAACGGCAACGGCAACAGCAATAGCAATAGCAACACCAGTAGCGCCACAGTATCGACAACAGCCGCATTGGCCATCGCAAATTTGAATAACAACAACGTTGAAGTGCGTCTTTGTGCTGGTTCCGGAGAGGAATCTATCGAGCAAATTTCTAAAACAAACAAAATGGATCACAACAAACGAGTGTTATATCGCGTGGCATTGGATGTGTTCATACTACTCTGCGGTAAGTTTTGACTAAATAATTAGTACCTAAGTGGTTGCCAACAGTTCGGTAAATAGTACGTACAATATAAAAAAATGTTCCAACCTTACATAAATTGTGGTGAATCAGAGAACACACACACGTAATTGCATTCGTACAATATATGTATTAATTGCCGTAAACAACAACCTGTTAAAATAACAAAAAATTGCAAATACATATCTATGAGCATACATACATATATACATACCCTGCAACAAATTGTGTGACTAATCTCTAAAGAGAGTATTCCGAAATTACTCTCGATCGGGTACAATTGGGCATTAATTAGTCGCAACTAGTTTTAAACGGGTATTATTGAAGATCAATTAATCTCGGCTCATCCCTTAAAGGTATAATTGGAGATCAATTAGTCCCCGACTCATCTCTAATGGGTACTATTAACGATTTACGGGTCTATTCTGCACATTACCGATGATTTTGTAACCGGAAAATTTTATTACCAAAAAATGTTGCCACTTGTCACCGCGATTCTATGTACGTTGGTAATACTGTGAAAATATTCAGGAAATCAGCTATAAAGATTTGTGGACATTCTTGTATTGCATATTTCACGTGGCAATATTTTGTAACCAGCTTCTGAGATGGTAATAAAATTTACCGGTAACAAGAGCGCACAGAATGCGAAAAAGGTTTAAAAATTGGCAAATTGCCGATTACAAAATTTATGTTACCAGCGAGGAATAGACCTATTAATGATAAGTGCGCACTTAGGGCCGGTTTCTCCATCTCTGGTTAACACTTACTACCCGGTTACACATTGTTATCGACGTTCTAACTCCATGCATATAACAGGGAGTCGATAAGGTCGGTAACGATGTTTAACGGGGGATTAGTGTTAACCGGAGATAGAGAAACCGGCCTGTTAACCGGAGATAGAGAAACCGGCCCTTAGTCGATGAAATTTTATGTGCTGCGTTGAGAACCCTGGTTCGAATCGGTTTTCGGATTTTTTGATGGCTGGGTAAATTTATATACATATGTATGCATGTATAAGTATCCATACGTATGTATATCGTGTCAGCTACCTGAATGAAGGTTTTTATGACTCAAATTATATTGAAAACAGAGTAAATTTTGGTTAGGAAGTTTTATTCACAGTAGGGTGGTCCAAAAACAGTAAAGTCGGAATTGTAATGCTCTCACCCCTAGGATTGTTCTATATCGAAAAAAGTATACCCCTGTTTTTTTAATTTGAAATCAAAAAATATTTAGAGGTCGCTCAAAGCGCTCAAAGTTTTACATGTACTTTAATATGGGGAAAAAACAACTTTTCGCAGAAATGGTATAGGATTCTTGAAAATCAATATTTTTCGATCGGAAAACTCTGGTTCCCTTCAGGAGACCTTCAATAATAATACCCAATTGTTTATTTAACCATTTTTTTGTAATAAAGATTTTTTATTTTTTTTTTTTTTTATTGGTCTCCTCATCGCATTTTTCGGGGTTTTTGGCGGACCTCTAAATTATAGTTGCGACGAAAAAATGGTTAAATAAACAATTGATTATTATTATTGGGAATCTCCTGCAGATGATTTTTAAGAATTCTATACCATTCCTACAAAAGGTTGTTTTTCCCCATATAAAATACATGGAAAACATCAGGCGCTTTGGCAAAATCTAGGGGCTGAGAGCATAAAAATTCCGACTTTACTTTTTCACATGAATTTTTGGATCACCCTAATGTACAGCCGTCTTCGAATCGCACTTCTCTGCTCGCTATTTGTGAATTCCGGTCGTTTAACAAAAAATTTAGCATGTGAAAGCAAGAACAAAGTTAGCTAGCAAGGATGGACTATAGCAAGTTTGGTTGAATTTCATTGAGTTCATTATCTTTGTATCTTTTGTTCGTTCGTTTCCACTCGCTAACTATTGGCGAATCTATTAAAATATATATGCCCTATCTTAAAGTGAATAAAAAATTCAACGAAATTTTCTATTCTTAATATCCGAATTTTTTGAAAACGTTGTTTATAATTGAGAACTGCAATTAATTAAATGCTGTACCAGTTATTTTAAATTTTCATTTGGTATTTAGTGAGTAATCTAGCTACTTTTGTAAAAAGAAAGATTTTCAGTATTAAGGTAATGTAGAGCGCCGAAAATAAAAACAGGGAAGAGCCATTTTAGCATCATTTGGCTATTTATCTTTCGATTACTTAATGCACTGAGGAAAAAACGCGTAGAAGAAATGAATATTTTTTATTTGAATATCGTTTAAAAATGTTCGTATTTAAATATACAAAAAATAGTAGAATCAAATAATAACGTATCTAGAGTGTGCAAGCAAAGATACTTGATACAATTCGTTCAAGGAAACTTTATTGTACAATTTTCTTATATACCACAATCGTATGATGATAAACGTCAATGTGATGTTAAACGTCAAAGTAAAGGAATACAGTGAAACCCGCTTAAGTACCCCCCGCTTAAGTAACCACATTTTTGGGCACCGTGAATATTTTAATGTAATCTGAAGAAAATCCCTCTCTTAAGTACCTCCCCGCTTATTTACCCAACCCGCCTAAGTGTCTAAATTTTTCGTACCCCATTTACCATTTTACTTATAATTTTCCCCTCTTAAGTACGCCCGCAACACGTTCGGCAAAAAAAAAATCTAAAAAATCAACGGTAATTTTTAGCCACTTGAAACTTGCACATTATTACACTAAAATTGAATGAGCTATAAACACTTCTGAGAAAAAAGTTTAATATTTTTATGAAAATTTGGTGATTTTTATCAGTGTTGTAAACAATTTTAAGCTTAGGTTTATGTGGTATTTGTTAGGGAATGAACTGAGTTTTTATTGAAAAATCTTAAAATTAATAAATAAGAATAAGTGGCAAACAACATCATTTTGAATTTGGTCCACACTGTCTGTATGTATAAATTAGGGATGTTGCGTATGTGGTATTTTAGACATCCGCGGATGCGAATGCGGATGTCAAGTATTTTTAAGAAATAATTTAGGTGAGTAAATTAGGTGATTTAATAATAATAATAACCCTGCAAAAAATGGGACTAATCCGGGATGACTCCGGGAGCAATCGCAAAGCAGCATGCGACTAATACCACTTTTGATCTCTTTATATGGAATGAACTGATCGCTTTTGTTCGAGCATGTCCTATGAAAAGACTAATTGTTCACCTTTATACCCAAACGGGTATAAGAAGCTACTAGTCACTTTTAAAAAATAAAAATAGAAATTTGAGCCAGCTGAGATTCGAACCCGGGTGCTCAGTTTTGTTAGGCGAATCCTATCGCTGTGTGCCAACGCTCCACATGAAATTTCATTGACTAAGTGCGTACATATCATTAAATCGTTAATAGTGCCCGTTAGAGATGAGTTGGGGACTAATTGATCTCCAATTATACCCATAAGGGATGAGTCGAGACTAATTGACCTCCATTAGTACCCGTATGAGACTAGTTGGGACTAATTAATGCCCAAATGTACCCGATTGAGAGTAATCTCGGAATACTCTCTTTAGAGATTAGTCGCACAATTTTTTGCAGGGAATAGATTGGCGCTTACACACATGTTAGTGTTTGGCCGAGCTGTCGGCCGCTGTGGTGTAGTGGTAAGCAGTCCGCGCTTCAACTCCGCAACGCCTGGGTTCAAGCCCTCGGCCAAATTAGGTGATTTAGGGAAATAAAAAATGGAAATTTTTTATAATGTTTTTTTTTTTAGCGCTTGAATTTAAAAATTGGAACATTCTATTTGATAAAAACTTTTTATTAAAAAGTAATGTTTTTGCCTTTTCGGGTTACAGTCTGTTTCTTAAAGGGTCGTAAATAAAATCTGCGCCACTAAATAACTACTCGGTCGAGGCGACAAACTCGAAAAACTTGAAGCTTGACAAAATTGTAAATTCTTTTCGATTGCCGCTGCACCAGTTGAGAGGACTTTCAGTTATATTGAGTTTTTTATTGCGGTGCAATAATTCCCTTTTGAGAATTGCATCGGGACAGCAAATGTCGGATGTATCCTCCTGACTTTCATCTTCACAATCTAACATCGTTGTTTAAACACCGCTGTTTTCCAAAGAATTCTTCATTCTCATTCTTTTGGTTCTTTCTGAATTTGGAGTGCCTGTAACGTCATCAGCGTTTTTCGATTTTAGTTTTTGTAATTAATTTTTATTCCTTTCTTCTGTGACTGGCCAGATATACGTTTTATCAGTGCACTTGCACAATATTCCAGGGACCGAAAGTAACAGTTATTTTTTTACGAGTTAAACTTGGCCAAATATTTTTTATTCCGGAATAAAAGTCCTTTCCGGATAATAAACAAACCACTTATCCAAATTAAACAAATTTGGTATCATATGAAAGAGGACTGAAATAGTTGGCTTTTCTCGTTTAGACACATGTATCAGTTTTAAAGCTATTTAATTCCTCTTTCATTTGATACCAAACTGGTTTAATTTGGATAACCGGTTTGTTTATTATCCGGAAAGGACTTTTATTTCGGAATAAAAAAATATTTGGCCAAGTATAACTCGTAAAAAAATAACTGTTATTTTCGGTCCCTTCAATATTCGCATTCGCAAAAGATCCGCATTGATTATTATTAAGAAGTTATTTCCTCTCCCATTTAGAAAAAGAATCTATAACAATGAACAAGTAAAATGAATTAATCGGACCACAAAAATCAATATGTACTCGTTTCCAAGCCGATTCGGTTGGTACCCAAGGAATTAGTGGGCTCTTTTCAGGATTTTCCTGTGTCCTTAGACAAAAAACACATTCCTAACCCAACGCTTCTACATCTTTATCTATATTAGGCCACCATATGTATGAACGCGCTAGCATTTTTGTCTTTACAATGCCTAAGTGAGACCCGTTTTTTGGAGTTTCAAGGGAATTACAGTTCTTTATTCCCACGAAAGACAACCTGATTCTACAGTTAGCTCAATTGCTTTTAAACGAAAGGGTTCAAACTGTTTCCTTTTTAAC